TCAAGGTGTTTCGCACGCAGCAGCTAGTGCAGCTTTGGCCCGAACACTGTATACACGAGTGGCCTACATAAAGGCATACCTTTATACAACGGACTATTAGGCTCTCACAGCTTTGCATGCGTACACATGGTAACCTATAGCCTACAGGCCTATAGACCATGCTGTATACAACAGATCGCCTATAGGTGTGATGTATACGATTATATACGCGAAATCACCTATACGCCACATATTCCGCGGTCCTACCTATTAGGCGATGGCCCGACCTATAGGTGACCTCCAATTTTACTGACGTGCTAACTGCATGGGCCGGGGTATTGACGTGCTGTCGTCGAATCTTTTTGCCTACTGGTACTGAACCTGCGACGCCAAGTAGGACAGCAAGAAAGTAGTTAGGAGCAACAATTGGAACGGTGTACAAATGCACCCACACACACGTGCGAGCTGAGCTGTGGTAGTAGATGTCGCACATTATGGTACACACCCCGTCTATAATTAGGTGGCGCTGAAGCGCTCTGCCAGCATGTTGAGAGCTGTTTACAAGGTCAGGGGTGTCACGCCAAAGCATCTGGAGCGCACAAATTATGTGCCACGACCGCGTTAGTCGCTATCCGCAGGTGGTTAAGCCAACCGAAGGTAGTTGGACGAATTGCGTCTTGGTTTAGTTGAGACTTAGGGCACTGCTTGACTAGCGTATAATGTGCTTTCCGTTGTGATTTGAGGATGTTCAGTTGTCATTCATCTTTCGTTAGTTGGATGTCCGCTACGTATCCAGGATAGGGCCTCGTGTGATACTTCGCCATAAATGCGAGTGCGAAGAGGCCAAACATTTGTCGTTTGGCTCTCGAAGCAACTCTTCGTGAGCGTACAGACCATTAATTATTACGGACAATATAATCACAGGAGGGTTGATAGGCCTGTTTTGTGTAACAAGACCACGATCACACCCTACCTCGAGACGCGCATCAGAGCAGGATTGACAGAGGGTACATACACAGCATTCCATAAGGTCCGCCCTTAGTGCTTCTACCCCTAGGCTCGAGAGGAATCCGTTCCCAGCCCGTCCTAGCCCATCGCGATCGCGCTCTTCAAGTTAACTGAGCTGGATTACGCCAGCCGAGTCAAGCAGGAGCTTTGAAGAAAGCTTTTATATTGTATAATTAATCATTACCCCACAGGGGTTTCATGTCCATCATTCCAAAGTGGGTACAGGATCTCAGACTTCATGCCTTTACTCGTTTACAGCTACTTACACGACTCAATTTTGCTTCATCCGGTATCCATTCATACGCTGGGCACTCTTAACCTCACACATGCTTTTCGTTCTCGGTTTGGCGGGATGTGCGACCGTATGTACCACAGCCTGGAAAGGACTTCCGAGATGGTCGCATACTGACCGGCATCATCTAGGACGCATCATCCAGAGGCATACCCAAGAACCCTAGTAGTAGTAAGATAGTACATTGAATGCATGATTGCACCACCACCGCCGGTGGTATTGCGTCACTCATCACTGCATCTGGTGCTGTGACTGCCACTGCAAATGCTTACACTGCGGTTGCCTTTCTTAATACTGCTGTTTCGTTTTGCTGGCTCTGCTGGAAGGGCGGTGAACCACGGAAGTATTGGGGCAGGCTTCCTTGAGGTCCTGCTGGAAAAGGGTGCGGTGGTCATCACCTCGGCCCCTCTGCCTGCCGACGGTTCCGGGCGCACACCGCTGGACTGGGCGGTGTATAGCGGGTACTGGGACTCTGTGGAGCTGCTGCTGGCCAGCGAGGAGTCGAGGGCTGCACCACTTCGGCTGGCGGTGATGAAGGTAGGTGATACTCTGGGTGTGATGATGTTAGTTCCGGTATTTCCATTTTTGCAAAGTAAATGCACGTATTAATAACCTTTCGTTATTCATACTGCATGCGTGGATGATGCCAGTTGGGGTTCCAGTTGGGGTTATCGCAATGTTTATGACGACACGCACCTACGACCAGTAAATAAGTCCATCCCTGCTGAAAGGCGGGTGGGCACATAACGGACCCACTGATCCATCCATCCATCCATTCATCCAGTGCTACGAGGTCCCACACATTTCGCGATGTATGTATGTGGCTGAAGTGAGAACAATTTGACGGCATGCATGCCTGGTGCTCAGTGTAAATATGTATAGATTACTGGATCAATGAGTTCATGATGACTATGCTTGCTTGCTTGTCAGCTAATGATAAAAAGGCGATGGACAGATGGACGGACGGACAGGTGTGACCCCGGAGTGCTCGGCCATTAAAGGTTGTTCGCTATAGCAAGGGGCACCTGTCACATTCGCTACCACATTATAATATAACTTACTATCTAGGGAAATAGTGGCATGCTACACATATATGTCCAGGTATATACCTGGTATACCTGGTATATATATATATATATATATACCAGGTATACCAGGTATACCAGGTATACCAGGTATACCAGGTATACCGCTCGCACGGCAATCGAGTAGAGAGTACGAAAATAACCTAATGCAGTCATCGACAGCAGAAAACGTAAGCCTCCAGCCTCATGCCGACTCTCTTACCTACCATTCATATTCTCTACCTCGTTCCCAAGACTCCGCCGCGTTGCCTCTAGTTCGGCTCGTGCCACAGGTAACTTCGCTCGTCGCTACTTTGCCATTCACCTTCGCCTCCACCCAGCCTCTGCTTCTCCACAGAAGCGGCGACCTCCTTCGCCGTTGTTACGCCTCGTCTATGCGAATCCTCCTCATCCGACTGTGTCTTCTGCCTACCCGGTGCGCGCCCCCTCTCTCTGCGCATCCTTTTCTCTGGCCCTCTCTTACGGTTGCCTACCTTACTGCAGGACTCGCCCCTTGCCTGTCCGGTGCCGGGCAGGCTTTCCTTGCCTTCCCCGGCCCTACTTGGGGCGCCCCTCCTCGGCTCGTCAACTACCTTACTTCCGTCCGTTCCTGCCCCTCGGGGGCCCAACCCCTCCGCCCTTTCCGTGGGCCCGACGCCCGCTCTGGACTTATCTCACGCCCCCGGCCTCTCCGATGCTGCCCCCCCGGTAGGCTTGCCCGCGCCTGAGTCCTGTCTCTCCTCTCCGTCGCGCTTACCTCCCCTACCTTCTTCTGCCCGCCAGGCACTGCCGGAGCCTACTCTGCCTCAAATCTTGGCCGCACGCGTCCGCCCCACTTCCTTACCCTCCGCCGTACTGGACCCACCTTCCAGCCGCCAGCTTTATACCGTCGCCCTCGCGAAGGCCGCCACCGTCTGCGACAACTCGCTGGCCCGCGAAACCATTGCCCGTCAGGAAGCTGCCGGTCGGGACCTCTCTGCCTGGCTGGCCTCCCTGCCTCATGGCCGTACCCTGCTATCCTGCACCGATGACGACCTACTCGTCTACCTGGAGGCGCACTGGCTCCCCAACCGGCTAAACAGTCCTTCCTCCTAATGCAGTCATCGACAGCAGAAAACGTAAGCCTCCAGCCTCATGCCGACTCTCTTACCTACCATTCATATTCTCTACCTCGTTCCCAAGACTCCGCCGCGTTGCCTCTAGTTCGGCTCGTGCCACAGGTAACTTCGCTCGTCGCTACTTTGCCATTCACCTTCGCCTCCACCCAGCCTCTGCTTCTCCACAGAAGCGGCGACCTCCTTCGCCGTTGTTACGCCTCGTCTATGCGAATCCTCCTCATCCGACTGTGTCTTCTGCCTACCCGGTGCGCGCCCCCTCTCTCTGCGCATCCTTTTCTCTGGCCCTCTCTTACGGTTGCCTACCTTACTGCAGGACTCGCCCCTTGCCTGTCCGGTGCCGGGCAGGCTTTCCTTGCCTTCCCCGGCCCTACTTGGGGCGCCCCTCCTCGGCTCGTCAACTACCTTACTTCC